TGTTAATCCTATTGCAGTGACATAGAATTGGTCACTACGTAGTATAGCGCTGGCTGCTGGCAGGGATGGGGATCTGCAGAGTGTAGCAGCCCTGACTGACAGCAGGCCACGTGACACAACCCGAGAGGGTTCTAGGGTAAAGGTTACGGAGGGGGACGCGTCGAGAGCCCGCTCGTTAGTTCCAGAAGGGGGGCGTGGCCGGGGCGGAGCGAGGCCACGCTAACAGGATAAAAGGGGACCCCGGGCGGGGGATCGGGGCCGTCGTTGCAGTGGGATCCCCTCGTCGTCATCGCTGCTGTCGCCTTCCACTTGATAATTGCGCTGCTGGCAGTGGTTGGCTGTCTTAGTTCAGCGCCGTCAGTGTCAGACGGCTAGCGTTGTGTTGTAGACTAGCAACCAGAGTAGAGTTGTGTTTAGGCGAGAGACAGAGCATTGTGTAACAGTGTAGGGTGTGTATTGTATATAGTGTACAAAGTGTGCTCGGTGTTAAATTAAAGAATTGCCTCCAAGAGTTACGTCTCCAAGTCAATCACTACACTACCATGTCTTGCATGTCACGCGACACCACCATCCTGCAAGCATAATGCACACGACACTGACTGTGACATTAGCTCCATCAGTGGCTCGCAGCTACATGCAACTGTACTTAATATCCATTTGCTTGGTCGACCCTTTGCTTGCTCAATTGCAAAAAAATATTGCTCAACTCCCCCGTAATTAGTTTTACTTTCATATGAACTAACCCCTCGATGGTACGGAAAAATGGGAGCCATTTTGAAGTTGAGACGCTCCATGCACCCACCGTGATATCGCCACGAAACCAAACTGCCTTTTTAAAGCTTCAGGGCTAATGTAGGACATCGCTGTCTCTCGTCGTAAGTGGTTGGATGTTTTTTTCTCTCTCCCACTCTCTCTCTCTCTCATTGGCCGGCTTCTGTGCCCACGAGACCAGGGCTCTGCATGATCAGCTCCATGGCCGATCGCAGGTCCGGGCACTTAGCGGCAAAACATCCAGAGATAGCGGCCGCTGCAGTTGCACTGTTCCAGCCCCTCAGGGCGTCAGCTGGTTTGGCGGAGAGGAGCTCTTGTTTAGATTGACGTGGGAAACTTTAGATTTGCCGGAGCGATTATAGCCCCAGGGAGAACCTTCCATCGCGGGAGAATAACATTCGTGCAATGACTCGGACACGCTGTTGAGGTGATGGATATCACAAGGTCTTCTTGTAGAATTCATCGCAGTATTGACAGACTCCAGTGACAATCGTTGGCTTCCTTTGTAGTGAATATACATACATCGCAGGGCTGGCTTATTCATAACAGTGTTGAAAGCGTGATCCAAGCGTATTGTGTTACGACGTGTTTAACACAAAATGAGAAAAGCCCTACCATTCACATCATGGCAAAAAATACGCACGTGGCACATACAGCACATGCATGATCAAACCTCAAATTACATTCGGCTGGCTTCACGAGCGTTGTCACGACGAAATTGCAAGTGCCAGTTTTATAATCTCTGCGCAACGCACGTAAGTGCGCATGTAATACGTTGTAATTCCACAAAGCCTCATCTCGCTGATTCATAACTTAATGTGACGATCTACAAAATCGCAACGTTTAAAAGCGTTAATCACCTTAATGCGAGTTTCATCATACGCGAGTGCAGGAATGACATCATCACCGTAAGCCACAACCATTCTCGACAACCAATCAATTCATGCGGATCCTTAGAAATCACAAATAAGGCCGAGCAAGCGGGAATGAATTGTGTGCTGCGTGATTAAAATTGAAACGGATAAGCAGACGACATTTTGATACTCACATTCCACGCAGAAACACTCGTGATTAGAAATCACAAATAAGGCCGAGCAAGCGGGAATGAATTGTGTGCTGCGTGATTAAAATTGAAACGGATAAGCAGACGACATTTTGATACTCACATTCCACGCAGAAACACTCGTGATTATTTCGAGTCGCGTATAAAGTGAGGACGGAGAGCCGTCGAGCGCGCATGCAATATCGACGAGCAGCACCGCGTGCCAAATGAATCGCAGAGCAACGAACGCAACGGGACAATGAGCATCGACGCAGGAAGTGAGGTCATTTGCCAAGATAGACAAGCAGACAAGATGGGCTTCCTTCTGATTAAACAACGCCTTAAATTCATGTTACACATTCATGCGTGCAGATAGGTGAGCGAACATATAAAAAAAAACACGTGGCATATCGATGCACTGCAAATGTACACATGTTAAAATATATATAGTATGATGGATACGTGTAATATAGTTGACCAAAAACGGTGGGATTGTGGCAGGTGTCTGCATATGCAAAGACACACACGGCATACTGCAGCAATAATCTGTAACCAAGAAGCCCCATGGGATTTTAAGACTCTTTCAAAAATTTCATATTCGGAATATTTGGCCAAATACTTTTCATGTGTTTTTATTGATGTGTGGGAGAGACACTAGAGTGCCTAGAGAAAACCCACACACATGAGGGGAATTGGTCAAATTCCACTTTACTTGCTGTACTGATTTTCCTACAGGCCCACACGTGACTCTCATTGATGGGTGATCCGCCAATCCACCAATCCCCAGATCGCTAGATTGCAGGCATGTGCTGGGACTACCCAGAGCTGAACTTCTTTCGCACTGTATGCAGAAGCTGTTAGCAAGAACCTATTCAGGCCAATATGGGGCACAAGGGAGTGGTGTAGCCAGAACCACGGCCAGCCATCGTTGTCTCCCCAGTGTTGATGTTTACACACCACCCCAAGTTATAATTATTTTAAGGCTGGGTTTGCCTAGTGGGGGCCCAAGATATGTTCAGAAATCCCGAACTACTTATGTTAGCCATGACCGGGAATCAAAATCAGGTCATCAGGCTCGTAGCACAGTTCTCCACGCAAAACGATAGCCCCATATCGCCGACACAGGCTGTTGGGGGGCAAGTGCTGTTTGCCACCGGCATGGCCCACGAGGGAGTGAGTGGTTAACACAACGCCCAGTGATCTTTGCCTTCCCGATGCTGATGTTTACAAACCAATCCAGGTACTCATTTAAGGCTGAGTCGATCTAGGAGGAGGCACAGGACCGGTTTAAATAATCGTCACTGGTGTTTTCCGTGAGCGGGCATCGAACTCGGGTCGCCGAGTCCATCGCGCAGCGCGCTAACCACTACACTACCGCTCCCCACGTGGCTGCACGCACGCACGCGCACGCACGCTTGTGCAGGTACGCTGGAATGCTTTTAATTACGTATCTCACAACAAAAGGCAAATGGCATCACAGCGTCGTGAGGCATGCGGGCTTTAAACGCATGCAAGCAGCTCTGACGACGAATGCATGCACGCAGGCAAAGCAAACAACGCCCCGTGGGTCCACAGGGGGAAGGGCTCAAGCTGGTGAGGGTTAAGGGTTAATCACACAATGGAGAGCAAAGGTGCCCATGCACTGCTCTTCCACGGCTTTGCCACGACCGCTGGTTTTCACGTGTTGAGTAAAAGCGATCAGTGTGCGGCATGCATTAGCGTAGGCTATGCGTCATCTGATCACAGCTCATATGTATCTCATTTTCACGAGGAGATCATCGTGTGCCAGGCTCAGCCGACGAACCGAATATAAAATTTTCCCTGAAATGAATAAGAAACTAAAAACTTCTCCCGGGTTTCCCTTTCCAACGGGGATAATTGTTCGTAATGCTCTGTCTGACAGAGATGGCCAACGTACTTTGAAATTACAAATTACCGGAGTCGCGCGATGCAGACACAAATGACCAATTCATCGCGTCTCGTGTGGCTTAAGATACAAATTAGCGATTACTGCGAGGCAGTTTAGGTGTTGATTATAAATCACAAAGGTAATGCAATCACGTACTTAACATTACTTATCAGTTAGATACCGCCCATCTCTGGCCGCTCACACTAAGGTTATCACAGTCAAAGTGACGTCGCCGTTACAATTGTCCTGCCGACAATCTGGCAGCAGCCAAAACGAGGCAGGTGTGGACGAACCGTTAATCTGAGAGTGAGGGCCGTTTGCACGGTGACCTATGCCGTTAGCTGTGGTTGGACGTTAACCCTGGCGATGGCCTGCCTTCCGTGGGGAATAACGTCCGTGGGGGTACGTCGACCTTCTCAGATAAACGCTTGATCAAATGCGTAATTGTAATCGCACGCCGCCTCGGAGGACCGTGCCGCTAGGCGGCCCGGATGTTCTGGGCGGGAGCCGTTGAGAGCGGCGTAGAGAGCACAACGTTGACTTTCAGTGGGATGAGAGCACAGCTACTCCAAATAAGCAAGTGCTGCTTCGTTAAAAATACGGCTCACAATTGCATATATGTGGAGAGGTAATCCGGCGACGTTTGTTGTTGTTTACGTGCCGTTCCCTGCTGATGAGATTCAGGGGAAACTCGTCCAGAAACCAGCAGCATTGCTTAAAACATTACTGCCAATGTAAATTGACGTGGAAGGCACAACGTTAAGCTGCTAAAGTCAAACCAAAGTGTTTCCAAAATCAAAACCGGCTCGGGGTAGTGCTATTGTCCATTCGCAGCCAGGAATCTTGGGTGGATTTGCCACATTCGTGCGGCAGATGCCAGTTTCCCAACATAATGGCCAATGTTGAATGCTTAACATTTGGTGCTCATTTTAGTTACCCTGGCAGTATGATAGGCTGAGTTCAACCCCACACTGGGATTTTAACTCATGCCCTTCTGACAGTGAGCTGACTGCTCTAACAACAGTGCCACCCAGCCGGATCGGTCGATTGATCAATCAGCTTTCAACCAACCTGCATCTTCATTCACCCATTCGCTACGCATGCGTGCCATGCATTAACACATACGGCTGTGATCGTCGGACGATAATCAAACCGAGAATGATTAGTAGCTGTGGGAGGCGGTGATTGGCAGCAGCGGGAGGAGGAAGATATCCGTGTGGAACAACGGTGGGGGAGGGCGGGGAGGGGTCGGGGGAGGGGTCGGGGGAGGGGTCGTACCTTTCTTGCGAACGCCATCTTCGGGCTCCAGCCGGCGGCTCACGGACACCACCTTCATGCCCAGCTGGTTTCCCCCGTGCCGGATGAGCCCCACGACCTGCCGGTGTCCACATTTCACCACGTTCTCGCCGTTCACCTGCACGCACGCAACGCGCACGGCACGCCACGTCACGGCGCGTCACGGCACGCGGATTCAGCCGAACGTCCGGCACCGAGTTACAGCGGCGGCGGCGGCGGCGGCAGCTTCTGCTGCCTTTACGATTCTTCCGCTGCCACTTTCGCGAGGGGAGGTTTGAACCCCCGCGGGCCGCGCAGTTATTCTTCACGACGATGCTCGAGTCGGATAAGCTGTCGGACCGCGTTCGTCGTGCAGGCTTCATCCATGCATTCGTCTATGCATGAGCCACCAAGCCTCACATCAAACCAAGCTGGATTACAAGCATGCATACTGTATGCGTCCTACCGAGTGGTGCTGTTGGCAGTGTTTGATTCACAGTTGCCATTCTGTGAATAAAAAATCCCCGATTTAACCTCGCCCGACATTCCTATGCGATGGACACAACCCGTGGCGTGCAAGGTCAATAGGGCACAGAGGATGGCACCCACCATAGGAATGTGGAATGTCCACAGCTGGCCCAGAATCGCCATTTGAGACGAGCACCGCCACCAACATTTTGACTTGATACGTCATTGCAGCACGCAAATGACAAAAGAGAACGCTTCCCCCGTATAGCCTGAACATAACTTTTGGGGCAAGTGCTGTTCGCGAGTAGCACCTATGAAGTTCGGCATGGCATATGAAGGGAGCTGGTGGCCAACACCACGCCCGACCGCCTTTGTCTCCCCAGTGGCGATGTTTACACACCACACCAGGTACTCATTTTGAGTCGACCTAGGGGAGGCCCATACCCGGTTCAGATAACCATCACCGGTGTTGGCCGTGAACGGGAATCGAACTCTGGCGGCCGGGTTCGTAGCGCAGGGCGCTAACCGCTAGCCTACTGCTCCCCACAGCACGCAAATGAATGCAGAATAACAAACGCACAAAAGTCATAATTTTGAATAATGACTCGAACAAAATTACACGAATCAAGCTGTTTCAATTTGCAAGAGATGAAGTGGATTTTCTTTTCTACTCCTCCGAACAACATTGTACAATCTGCACCTACTGTGTCCCTTAGTGCCAGACAATGATGCAAAATGAGACGGGGGTTGGGAGAGAAAATCAATCAGAGTCTCTCAATGTGTCACATTACAAGTCTGAAAATTACCGTGACGCGGGTCCTGTGCAAAGCTAGACCGTCTGCTGTTTGTTCTAATCGCACGACCCTCCGCCGGGCGACATTAAAGATAGACCTGACTGCGGACGTGGCATCATTAATTCATGTTTTAATTCCCTGCGGGGGTGATAACGTGGGGTCTGTGTTTCCTCTAGCCGACTGCTTTGAGAAGGTGTTGTGTCTTGAAGGCCAAATAAGCTCAGCACGAGCCATGCTATGGGCTGCTTCGGCCAAGTATTTCTTTAACACACTTATAGCAAGCTAATTTCATAATAATTCAGAATCTGAATATGTATTAAAACTGGAGGAGTACCATTGAGCTATAAAGATATATTTCACAAATGTCCAGTAGGGGCGGGTAAGAACGTTACAGCGACAAACATTACAAAAACATGACAGTGGTGCAGAGTACAAGAAAAGTAAACAAATCACCCAAACACATACAGATAAAACCAAACCACCCCTATCCTACCTGACCGGGAATGTAACTTAGGATAACCACTGCTCCAACTCCCCATTCATGACCTAGTTAAATATAAGCATGACACAACAAGTCTCATACTAAGGGGCTAATATCACTCGTTAGAAAGCCACTTGAATGGTGCCGCTGTGCCTTGCGCACGAGCAAACAAGGCTCACTCTGTGCACACAACAGCGGCAACAAAAGGACACCATCGCAGCACCCCCCCCCCCTTATGGGCTCACGGGAGGGCACAGCAAAGGTATGAACCCACACTGCTTTTACCGGTGACACTTTCAGAGCACGGCTGCTTTCCACGGCAGCCTTTTACGAACAACGCCCGAAATCTTACTGCACAGACATGAAGCCTCTTTTGTCGGCTGATGTTTCACGGATTTCGCCCGCATGATGTCCGACGTTACGGCCCGCATGCTGGGAGCTTCTTCGAGAATCCCCGAAGCCGAGAACGCATCGGCGAGCTCACAGCGCGACCCCAAAAAGCCGATGCAATGGTATAAACGGAAGAGAAAAAAAACCCTCTACGCTGACGTGTGTCTGCCATTCCGTACGGCGCTTACCGTTGAGAATGATTCGGAACGACGTTAGAATGAGATCATGTGGCATGCGATGCTTTGTTAGGGGTGAGGTATTTGTTGTGAGAACTGAGGCTTACTATATAAGGCTGTGTACAATTGTCTGGGTGACTTTTTTCCCTCCTGACCGTTAATGTGTATCTGCTGTGTAAATGGGACGTGGAATGTTCTCAGATTTAATAGGGTTTTTAATTCTATATATAGCACAACGCCGGCGGGTCCAAGTTCTTTATCCTTCCTATATACAGTGTTACATGTAAGGGTGTGTAAATATGTACACGTAATAATAAACTGCCCTTTGTAAATCCACTGCTGGCTGAAAGCCTCTCCCCTTATCATAGAGCACACACATTTTGCTTCAGAGAAGAACGTTACACAAGCGTATCGTTTTAAAGTTCCCACGTAAGACTGTCAAAGCAGGTCGTGGGTACGATCCTGAACCCTGACGCCTGCTGTGTATTTGGAGTTTGCGTGTCTCTTCGCGTGACTGTGGATTTTTCTCCGGGTCCTCTGGATTTCTCTTCCACATTTAGAAACAGGCGTTTCGAGTATTTGGCTGCTATAAAATTGTCACGTGATAGTCCAATTCGTTGAGCTATCATTAGTGGCCAGGTCGTTTCTGAAAAAGAGCTATCCAGATTAGTGGTCTTTTACCTGGTAATAAAAAAAAACATCATCCACATTAAGCAGATTATCTGGTGATGTTGTTGCGTTGGCAGTGGTGCATAAGCACAAACAATTATTTTAAAAAAATCGTCTTGAACAATGTGGTCTTAAAACGTAAATATATGACCCTTCTTCATAGCGCATCATCCATATTAGTTGGGGGGGGAGAGGGTAGGGGGATGAGGTGCGGCGGGGGGGGGGCATAAACGTAACGCAGGTCACGTGCTCATTTTGAACAAGACATTGCCACACGGAGGAGTCATGAGAAAAGCTGTCCCCTGATCCAGGCAAGGGTCATCTGCCACCTGCTTATCCCCACTGGTGGCAAAGTGGCACAAATGCTGGGCACGTACAGCCTCGGGGTCGTGTTACGATTAAACACGAAAAAAACTTTCCGAGCTCTGGACTCGCGCGTTAAACCTCACACGGTCTCACAAACGCAGGCACGCGACGCTGCCACATTGCCGTAATTCTTAAAGTTCTCTCCGCCTGGTGCCACGGCAAGACATGCCTGGCACGCGCACGGGCACGCACGCACATATGCAGGGTGGTGGTGGTGGTGGTGCCACATCGTCCTGTCATTCCTGCGAGTCTTAATCCTCCTGTCACTGCGGTCAGACAGTTTCCTCTTGAGTTAAGCCACTGACAACCGCGCAGTGGCTGCACTGCAAACTCCGCTGAATTGAATCTCACCGTGCCTTACTCTGGCTGTTCCCACAACAAGTAGGGGAGGCGCGTGCGTGCAGCTTGTGCGCGTGCGTCATTGTGTGTTTTTATGATCGTGCACGTCCTGCCCGAGCAATTGCACAACGTGCTTGGGGGCGCGGTATCGCAGTGGTTAGTGCAGTACGTTATGTACCCCAGTTACCCGACTGTGGTTTCCTTTCCATGGCCAACATCAGTAGCGAACATCTGATCAAATTATGGGCCTCCCCTTGGTCGACTCAGCCTCAAACGAGGGCCTCGTGTTGGCCTGTAAACAATCACCATTGGGGAGACAAAGGCTGCCCGGCGTGGTGCTGTCCACAGGACCCGCCCGCGTGCCGTGCCGGCCTTCACGAGTGTTCGCGAACAGCACTTGCCCCAACAGTCTGCTAGAGGCAATACGGGGGATACTAATGTGTTGTGTGTATAGCAATGAGTGCATGACACTTAAATCATATTTTGCAATGATTTCATTTCCGACTACGTATGTAGAGTAGAACCCCTCTTAACGACCACCCCTGTTAATGACTAATCGCTTAACGATGGGCCTCCATAGAGCCCACTGTGTAGTGTATAGTGGTGTAGTGTATAATGTAGTGTAGTGTACAGTAGTGTAGTGCCTCCATAGAGCCCAATATGTTCGCTTACCAACCATTCCCCTGATAACGACGGGCTGTTGTAGGTGCAAGTCAATATTAATGAATGCATTGATTAACCATGTTTATTTTAATAGTATGTGTTTATAATGTTCGTATCTTTATGTATTAATATCCATTGTTTAAATATTATAAAGTACGTTTATCTGGTGAAAAATGGTCACGTTCAATGCTATTGGAACTATTAAAGCCTTTAACGTGTATTTCCTATACACGCTGAACGACCAAATCACTTTCACGATCAGTTTCGTGGAACCAATTATCGTCCTTCAGAGGGGTTCTACTGTATCGATATTGAACTTCTTTCGCACCGTACGTAGCCGACCGCGCTAATCGGAGGCAATTATGACTGAATTTTTATTCAACCACGTCCAGGTAGACTTGGCTTCAAAATGTATACTTGGTGCGATGTCGTCGATAACAGCACTACGGAGACAAAGGTGGATGGTCACGCACGGTAAATACCCCCCTCCCTCCCCCTACCTCTGCTGGCTGTACAGCAGCTCCGGCGCGAACGGGCACTGGCACGCGACGATTAAGCGACCCCACCCCAACAGTCCATTCAAGGTTAGAAAGCGAGGTCGGTCCTCGCATCAATCGACCGTGCGGAAACATGGCGCTGATCATGCCAGGGTGGAAAAACGCAGGGCCATTTCCATTTTTATAGAGGTCACCACCGGCAGAACTCTGTTACACTTCACCCAATTTGATTACATTCGCCGAGACAGAGGCACACAAGGCCCCCTCGGTTTGTTGACAGCGAGAGCACCGACCCC